TGCAAATTTTAATCAATACTATTGTTTGTCTTCTCTTTGCTAATTCAGCCATTGCCAGAATTTTAGCTCTTTCCTAATCTAAAAGTATATTTTAGAGCTGCTTGTATAAATCATTTCCTATAAGTCATGGCTATTCTAATCTTCATAAATTAACTAAAATACTTTCTTATGCTTACCAAGGCCCATAAATGAATGTAATCAGTAGAGACTTTTCTATTTGAATGGTCATTATATGGAATAAAACACCAACTTGAATTCCAGTTCTTCATTTGTTCTGTTTGAACTCAGAGTTTTTCATGCAGAAGAATGGTTATTTAAAGCAGCATATACAAACAACTTGAATCACACTGTTTACTGAATACTCTCTCCATAAATTATAATTATATCCTTCTTTCTCAGTACTGCATATTTCAGTTTTAACAAGTGCAACAAATCTCTTGGCTTATGGATAAAGGACTTGCCAATTTAAATATTTGAAGTGCTCTCTTGCAGAGCAATCATGTATTTCCCTGCAGGTACATCTTGGTTTAAATACTGTTAGTAAGAGTAAAAAGATCATTTTCGATCATGATGGGAATGATGCAGAACATGGCTGGAAATGATATATGAAGTATAGCATAATTTTAAGGGTAAAGGCCTTGATGTTTCTGAGTTACTCAGTCAAATATTCCCCCTGTAGCTGTTGATGACATATCATGAGTGATATTGCCCTTTTAGCCTGGGCAGTTGCCAGCATTACCCTCATTTATCCTCTTCCTTTGGGACTAGAAATGATAATAGGGGTGAAGTATTCCTTTGGAGGAACCATATTTATTAACAGATTGCACAAAATCTTCCTCCCTTTGAGTGCAGTGGAGGTGAGCTGCTCTTAGGGATGCCTCAGCAGCAAGTCCTTCACTAGAAGGGACAAAATTCAATCTGCTCCACACTTGCTCTTGCTACTTTCTTTGGTTTTGGCATGTCCTTTCTGCAGAGCTCTGATTATGTCACCAGTGCTGAGCAAAGGCTACTTGTGGGAACACCAGACAGTTACCTAAAAACCAAGGTGTTGGGGTCTAAATTCATTTTCTCACTGTAGTACAAGAGAACTGCTTTTCAAGAGACAGAGGTCTGAGGGAATCTGATAATTTTGGAGGCATTACTGCGTGAGGCTGACACTCTCCTTTACATGAAAATGGTTGAGACAACATTCAACCCAAAGTTTCTGTTATCTTTGTGATTATGGAGCTTCCCAAGGGTGTGAGAAAAGGCTCAAGTAGCACAAGAACACAAACCAGTTTATTCTGCTCCTTGATTTCCAAATGCAAGGCATATCCAGCTGCCAGTAATTCATGCATTAAAACAAGAGCAGCATTTTCCTTTATAAATTCCTGACCAGCTTTGTTTTAATTTTTCTGAGAAAAATGCAGATGCAATTTTGTTGCAGATTTATTTTGGTTTCAAGCTAGTGATATGCGGTATAAATACTGCCTGGTATCTCCACATTACTTCATGAAGTAGAAAAGTGATTCCATAAGATTTTATAAACTGCCTCACAGGGATGTGAGCAGCAGTCTGTCAGATGACAAGGTGCAGTGGCTCTGGAATAGCTCTGCGCCTGGGATATGGGTGATGGATCATCCACTCACCAACTCCCTGAACTATCAGGGGATATATTTGACTGATTTTCAGTTAGGGAGCATGTAATCTCAATGATTGTCCTGAAAAAAAAATTAGCATAGCTCCAAGTGTGAGATCCATCCCAGGGATGGAGCCCTGTGGTCCATCCCACATTTCCTCATGATGAATATAGGTTTGGAAAAATTACTAAGTGAACCTTTACTGTAACAAGGAGTCAGTTAATGTGTTGTAGCATTGGAGGAAAATTATTATGAGAAAATAAAAAAAAGGCATTTTGTAAGCAGGAACTTCTCATTTCTGGTTTTTTTTTTTCTGTTTAAAGTGGAGATATACACTTGAAACTATTTATTTGTTGATGTTGATGAAAGCATTTTACACCGGTTGAACTTTTCTCTATCTCCTCTACTTTGCTGCAGTCTAACACAAAATATACATTTTCAACCCTATGATTTTAATCAGGCAGGCAAAGTTATTTAATTAGTACTTCAGTAGATAAGTTACTCCTCAATGGAAAGGGCTGCATGAAAATATGTTTGGTAGTGTTTGCTATATGTTTCCCACTATCATGAATGCATTTACTTCAGAGTCTGTATAATCATAATCAACAGTTAGAAATCTGCAGCATGGAGAAGATAATAGAGTAGTTTGAGATTGCTGCTCCTGACAAGATTCTATTCTCTTATAATTTTTAAATACCTCTACAGAGGTAAGGGATGGTAAAAGGGGAAAAAGGGGAGTTCCTCAGGCAGAAGAGCTCTGGGCAGAAGTTAATGCATAATCTCCAGTATCTCATAAAATGTGCTTATTACCGACAAAAAAAAAAAAGAACAGGAAAAGAGTATTGTGGAAGAGAATTATGGCTGCTGTCTCCCCCTTGTCCTGGCAACACAGAAGCATCACCTCTGAGACCACAGCCTTGAAGCAAACAGATAGTTTCAATTATCTAATTTTTACAATGAATGAGACCTGTTTATTGGAAATCTATATGTGGATGGCAATGGCAAATGGTACCTGTGAATATATCCAGTGCAGTGCTGTTTAATTTACAGCCTCCTCTGAACTATAAAGTAGCAATGTTATTTCTAGAAATGAACACAGGCAGTATAAGTAGCTGTGGCAGAATAAGCAAACTTTGTCTTTCTTCTTAATGGCTTTAAGTTGTTTGCATTTATATTTATTTGCAAGTGAGCCATGGCTGGAGATCCTCCTCTAGGGGTCAGGGCCTTTTATGCTACAGTGAATAACTGAATACTATTACTGTTTTGCTGAAAGTCTGGACAAAGTTCATAACAAGATGCCACATGTGAAAAACAAGGAAATAAGGGTCACATTTGCAGCAGCAACAGATTAATAGATCAAACAGACAAGATGACAGCAGCTCATGACAGCTCTACCAGGAATTGTTCTCAACAATGCAGTGGCATTTTACCATTAAACGGCTCATTGTAAGTTTTGCATGTGATTTTGCTCTTTGTCCCTAAGTGATGTACACAAAAAGGATGGCCAAAACCTTATTCTTGGCCTCTATTTGACAGAGAGGCTTTTATGCAGTGAAATATCTTGCTCAAGTCAGTAGAGGAATTGCTCTGGGTTAGGTAGCCCTTGTGACACGAGGTGTCTTGTCACCTGCAAAACACATTTTGACCATAACCTTAATCCTGCTGCTGTGGGAAATCTCTAGGATAAGCAAAGCCCCTGATAACTTGAAGGTTAGGATAAGGGCACTTTCTGAAAAGACACTGGAGAATGAGGAACATCCAGAATGGCTCGTTCCTTTGTGTCCTGGGTTCCTGTCCTGGCTATCAATTGCTCCATGTCCAGTTAAATTGTTGCACTATTGTAACAGACAGGAACAAGTCTAACAAAGGCACACAGGTAGGGGTAAGACTATCTGATAAATGGAATTCTAGTCTACAGGGGCTTATAGAAACTACAAGCTACTGCTTCTGCTGGCTGACAGGAATGGGGACCGTGCTGGGTATCAACCACAGGAGGGGTGAAGTCTGCAAACATTTCACAATTCTTTTTCCTTTACAGTGGTGTAACTCCCTTCTCATGTGAATTCAGCTTTAACTGTTTGATTCTTACTGATGTGTTGAAATTCTTGCAGGAATAGAGAGTTTATCATCTGTGTCTCATTGGCAAGAGAATTCAGGTGTTGTTACATTTTCTTTCTATGAAGATATTGACTAGGTGACCAGAAACTGAGCAGGTGTGGCATAAGCACTGTTTCCCTTCATTACTCCTAGGAAAGGCATCTTTCAGATTAGGAATCAATTAAAGAAATTAGCCTTTTCCTTGGAATTGAGCTCAGGGAGACATGCAGACTCTCCTGGCCAACACCAAAGACAGGTGAAAGATAAGCCTTAATGTACTCTGGTCTGACAAATGCTCTGGCTCTGGCTTTCTGCCTGCAGAAACAAACCATTAACTAGCAGGAAGGAACAAGTTTTGGAATTGTGGCTGGATCTTGTGTATCCCTGTAAACCTAAGGACCAAAAAAATCTTAGGCAGAAGGCATTTTCAGAGTAGTTCTCTTTTATGGGAGATCTTGCCAATATAAGTGTGGAAATCTCCCAGCATGAGATTGGAATGTCTCATCAGCATGGCAGACAGTGCATCCCTGAAAGCATCTTGTGGATTTATCTACCCTTTGGTCTATAAATGAACGTCAAATGGGAGTGGTACTCTTGTAGAAGACCCAACCACCACCCCTTGAGTAGTTGTCATTAAAGCCTGCCAAGGAGCACATATGAGCTCTGGTAAAAATGCAAATGCAGTCAAAATCTTTGAGAAAATATTAGAAAGGTGAATAATTAAAACTCTGTGTATGGTAGTGTAGGGACTATGAGAATGAGGAAAAGCTTTGCAGAGCCTGCACAGCTACCTGCATATATGGGAGTGACACACTGACACGGTGAGCACAAAACAGCTGCACATGAATTGTCACCAACATTTCTGGTTCCCTTTGCAGCACAGCTCAAAGACTACTTCTGACCTTGGTGGGGCTGCTTCTTCCTGCTATCTGCACAACTTAGATATGGTAAAAACACAGCTAGAGCAAGCAATCCCAGGCAATGTGCTTTGGGGTCCTGCTTGAGCATGGAGGTTGGACCAGATGATCCACTGTGGTCCCTTCCAACATAACCCTGTGGTTCTGTCATTCTCTGAAATCAAAACCAGAGACAGAGATTACATGTGGGCACTTCTGGTACACTAATGGCACAAGACAATTAGAAAAAGTAGGATTGCATATTATGTTGGACAATTAAAAATGGGTCCCTAGAAACTGCATTTGATCTCAAGTTTCAGTAATGGCACTCCATGTGTTTGACTTCAGAACTATTGATCTAAAACTGATCTCTATTTTTCAATGGCAGATAATGACTATTAGAGAGCCATGAAGGAAGCCATGACTGCTGGTGGCCAACATGCTACCCTGGAAAGAGGTATTCTGAAAAGAGGCCTGCATCTATGGTAAGATAGGAAGTCTCTTATTGATATATTCTGCCAATTTAGACACAAAGATAATCAGTCTTTCAATAAAATGGCAGCCTAACATCCAGATCAATAACTGGGTCCCTCTCTGGCAGATAGAACAGAGTCAACCTTTTGCTGATATTTGGTTAACAGATATAGAGAATGCCAGTCAAAAAGATCACATCTGCATTACTTTTACTGGATACTGATCAAAGAAGATCCAGTGTTTATTCACCAGGGAAATGGGCTTGAAGAGAAAGAGAAATGTAAATGTTCTGTTCAAGGCAACAGAAGGCTCAGAGGTGAACCAGTCAGCAGCAAGTGAATATCCCTCCTTTACTGGGAGCACTGGTGCACAGGCCATTCCTGCTGCTTTTCCCTGGCTCCTGCTGCCTGCCCAGAGTGAGGGTGTGATGGCACATGAAACCTTTCTGCATGAGCACACAACACCCCTTGTATAGCACTCAGCACTTCCTGTGGGCATGGAGAACATAGAACACTGTGTTCTTCCCTTTTGCCTGCAGTGCAGAAGAGAAGAGCTGCTGGGAACTTTTTTGGAATGGAAAATAGAAGGAAATCCTTCTGTTCAACAACAGCATGTCTGTGATACTGACCTCAGAAGGACATAATAACTCTAATGTATTTTCACTAAAGATAAACCCAAGATTTAATGGAATAGTTGAGCTGAAAACTCTGCAATGTTTGAATCTGGTATTTCTAACTTTGCCTTCCTTTTGCCTTATACAAGCAACAAGATTTATTAAAATTTTGTGTAATTACAGCTTTGACCTGTAAAATGTGCATGGATGATTTCAACATCAAGGATGGTACAGCCTTGAGATACAAACTTTAATGGAGCCTGTGAGTTATATCCTCAGTTATAAATCTTCATGGGATTGATACTTGATGGAAGAGTGCAGTCTGCCACAGCACAGGGTGGGATTTGTCACTCTTACTCAAATTTAGTGAGTACATTGCATTCTGAGTCTGCTCACTGAAATCTGAGAGAGATGATGAAACACAGTCCTTTCCAAAGAGCATCCCAGAAAGGTGTATAAATAGGTACTAGAACCCACTGGAAAATAGATGGATGTAGGTAACGCTTAAAGGTTTATTTTGTGTCCTGACAAAAAAATGGATACTTTAAGATAATATGAGGGAAGATTTTCCCATGCTATTATGCATTTAATTTCATTTTTATGGCACAGTTTTTCATACTATACATGGTAACTGAATGCAGCACCTGGATTAAAAACATTTATGTCTTGTTTCCTATGGAGGGAAATCAATCCTCTCCATTCCTTGATGTATTTCCTATGGAAGAAAATCAATTTAATGTATTTTCTTTTATGCGAGTTGGTTAGTGACTGTAGGAGGGGGGGAAATTATAAGCTTTATGTGAGTGTAATGAAAGAAAGTTCTTTTGGCTGGCAATTAAAATAATTAAATTTAGAATGAACACAATTATGCTTTCAAGAAGGATCCAGGAATGCAGTTTCTGTGAGGTTTGAAATGGACTTTGTAGTGAGCCAGGACAGTCATGTATCAGCCACCAGAATTAATTCAAGGAGACTGCAAGGAAATGAGTTTTAGTGAAAGCCAAATTTGATAGGTGACCAAATGCCAGTTCAGCCTCCTGAGAATGTTCCTCTGGTACTCACTAAGGGATGATAATAAAACCAGCCTCACTGAAAAACATCCAGAAGGTCTTTATAAAAAAAAAAAAAAGATGCTCTTGTCTCTATTGTGTGACTGTTTTGTTTTCTTTTTCCCCAAAGAATTGATGATTGAAAACAGGGAGATAACTCATTGTGGTTTGGTTCAAGGCAAGAAGAGGGGATCATGCAGCAGTGAAAAAATGTATTACAAAATAAAAATAGCCTGATCAAAGTTATCTTGATCTCTGATGGAAACAGAAACTCTGCACCATGCTGAAGGAAATGAAATATGGAAATTCAAACATCCCAATTTCAGCCTTAGCCTCCCTCTGTCACCCTGGTGAGTGTCCAGCTCTGGGCATGCACATGAAGCCCAGAGAACGGCAGCGAGGGGCCTCCCTGGGGGGACACGTGGCAGGGGAAATGCTCAGAGGTAATACTCTTCATGGATAGGAAACTGCAAAGAGAAATCCATGCCTCTGAGGATTTAATAAACCCATGGCAGAGGCCAGAGACAGACTGGATTTCCATGAACAACCATTTCTTTCATTAGAAACTGTTCTGAAACACAAACTTTCTGTTGAGAAACTGCATTTCTCCAGGAGAAGCTTCCCTGGGCAAATTTTAGTATTCTGAAAGAACCAAACAACAAAATTGGGCTTTACTGGTATACTCCTCTTAGGCAGAAGCAGACACACTCCCTTTGCCAGTGGTGTTGATGTCAGTGATTTTTCAGGCATTCACAGCCATGTTGCTGCTTCAGCCACTGGTAATTATTCAGTCTTAAACAGCAAACTCTTATTTACGTAATGAGGTAATATTCTTTGAAGTAGTTCTCATAAAATGACACTAAACTTTGCTAGCATTTAATATCTTTTAATTTCTTTGTTGCAAATCTGCTGAGTTTAGGAGTAAACATTTTAATCATTTTTCTCTGCAAGTCCACAAATCAAGATGCATTCTGCCTGACAGCCCCTCATTTGTAAAGATGTCAGTCAGATCTTGTCTTCAGCAACATCTTTCTTATAAAGCTGTCATTTTGAGGTGTTTTCAGTCAAGAGGAGAGGAAGCATTAGAAATCAGAGCTTGGGATCTGGGTGTAATATATAGATGGGGATAAAATAACCACCAAGAATGCTCTGCACCCACGACTGGGGCATGTTAGCACCTCCTGCTAAGGTCGGGCAGACTCACAGTTTTGCCTTTGCTTTCTCAGAGCTGCTTTCCCTCCTGCTGCCTCCCACAGGGGCTGGGGGCATAGATCCAGCCTTGGGTGGGCAGGGAGAGGGCAGGAGGGTGCTCAGAGAGGTCTCACTTCAGGACAGGTCACCTTCCCCCAGAATGTCTCCTGGAGAAAGCCTCTCCCGTGCTCATGCCCTGTAACTGCTGCTTGCTGCTCCTCAGGGTGAAGCTTCCATTTCCTCCTGTGCTGTGCTTCCCCAGGAGCTGGGAGCTGTGCTTCAGGCGCCTGCTGTGTGCTCTGGGTGCATTGCTGATACAGTTCAGTTTAGATTTCAGCTGCCCTCATCAGCTGAAATCTAAAACACCAGTGTGACCGAGGTCAGGAAGGCTCAACAGGCTCTTTTTTTATTTTCACAGGAGCAAATAGCACTTAGAGTTCTTTTTCATGCCTCCAGGCAGTATTCAGCCAGGAAACCTCTGCCTTCTGGGTCCACCCATTCTCTCAGCTGGAAAAAAATGGTTGATGTTTCTGTTTAAACAAGAAGCCCTGAATCAGCTTCAGAACTGGGGCAGCCCACGAGGGGCATTTAGCAGGTGCAATGTCCTGGGCTGCCTTTTGGTGCTGCTTTGGGCAGCATCTGTGGTGTTCCACCACTGTGAGACCCAGGCACAGCCCTGGGGAGGAGGAGTCTTCTTCCCACTGTCAATAGCTGGAATTAAACCTGGTGACTGCAGTGATCTCTTTCCTCTCTACCAAGTGAGAGTATGGACAACAGGTAAAGCCCATCTGTGATTTGATTTATGGGACAAAAGATATTAGAAGAGACAACACAAAAATGAGGATATTGCATGATTTCCTTTATACTATTTTCCCTTGATGTTTGCACCCTTTGCAGAGAACAGCAGGTAAGGTGCAAAGTCCCCCAGAGTTTTATGGAGAGGAGGAGGAAATGAGGAAAATACTGCAATATCCATGAAGTTAGTGGGAAAATTTTACTAGTTTCATTCTGTCTCAGACCACCAAAATTTTTTTCAGCACTCACACACTTTATATAAGTAATTACGCTATAGCAGATTTGGCCCTCAGCATTTCCACTGTGAAATCTTAATTTATCTGGGACTAATGTTTTACATGGTGTATAGAAAATAATTTCAACTTTTCTCCAACTAAAGGGAAAAAGGAGCTGGCATTAAATAGATGTTTTGGATCATATGGAAACTTTGGTTTATGTCAAGGTTATTGTTCCTCTAGAGTGATAATAGAAATTAAATAACCTGAAGAATTTGTATTTTGGGGAAAAAATCACTCACACCTAACTTATTATTATTAATGACATAGTTCAGATCATTGATTTTACATCCCAAATGGTTTAGCTAATGATTACAGAAAGGCCTTCAAAGGTTGTATATTAATGACATCAATTATCACAAATGATAGTCTTTATGAATTGTCATGAATATCAAGTGACACTTAGGATATGAACAACAATAGCATGTGATGTGGGAAGTTATGTGAAACAATTAAGGTCATGAAAACTTTGCTCAGTACCTCTTTTAAAAAAAGGTTATTCAATTATAATAATGGTCAATTCTCAGCAGAAAAAAAATAAATCCTTCATCTGATTTCCTTCTGGGCATTTAGTAATGGAGCTCCCACCTGCTGTGTAACATTTTATCACGTCTTTCCTAGTGAAAACAATTTGCACTGGCAGCACTAATTGAGTGGAAGCTTTTACACAGTATTTTTTAAGGTATAAATACTCTGAGTTTTCCATGCAACCACATTCCTCGCTATCAAATTCCTCAGTTGTAACAGGAATTTTTAAAAGTCTAATTTTACTAATTTTTTAAAGGAAAAGACAAAAACCAAGTGATAAGGAATAAGGAATGAGGGAATGTGTGATGCTTCACTATGTGCCTGTTGCGCCATGTGATGGGTTTTGGTTGGGCTTGTCCCTGACCCTCTGGCTTTGCCAACCTTACACACACAGCTTGTGTAAGGTTTCAGGAGCAGCACACTGCACTTCACAGCTGAGGCAGAGTGACAATTAGTGCTTGTGATTAATTAGTCCACAATGCTTATTTGTGGAGAGCCCAAAGCCCATCAAGTCTCCCAGCTCCATGTCCTCTGCCCAGGGAGCTGCCCTGTGGCATGGTTCCCCTCGTGGCAGTGGGGACAGCACGAGGTGTGGCTGCCTTGGGGTTCAGGGCTGGGTGATTCCCTGCCCCCCGTGCTGGGCAGCCCGAGCTTTGGGCTGGGGGAGGGCACTTTTGAGGGACACTGAGCTGGGCAAAAGGCTGGGGGTAGCCACCACCTGTGGGAGGATGCTGCTCCTTTGGGCTGCCCTCTGTGCTGGGCTGTGCATGGGAGTGACCCTGAGTTATCTTCACTGTGAGCTTTGAACAGCTCACAGGTATTGCTGTATTTCACTGTAAAGAAAAAAAGAAGTTAAAACTGAGTCCTTTTTTAGCTGAGAAGATGAACTGTAAGAGTTTTGCTTTTAGGAGGCTTATAAATGCTTATGAGCCCCATGGATCTGTTTAATGCTCTGTTCCACTGCAGTTTCCCTTTGAAGTGAGAGACTTCTGATAAAAGCGATGTACTTTACGCTTAGAGCAGGATTTATATTGTGGTGAGATGTGAAAAGCCTTGGCCAAGGATCTGGAGCTCATTGCACAAGTTCCTGTGGACAGGCAGATAAAGGCTCTGTCCCGAGGAACACCCAGGCTGCACCAAATGTCAACAACCTGCTTAACTGGGGAGAACAAATTATGGTTAAGGGCTTGTTCTTCAAAAGAGCTCCTGAGAAATGGAATTCATCTATTCTGCTGCCTTTTCTGCATGGCCTAATAAGAATCCCATAAAGTACATCAAAGGGGAGCTAAAGGGAACTGCTGTGGTGAGAACAGGGTTTGCTCCAGCTGGGAGAGGACTGAAACCAAATGGGTGTTGGGGAGATTCATACTCCCTCACATATGTGACGTTAGATCATGGGCAGAGGTGAAGATCTGCACTGTTTTTCTTGGAATCATATTATTACTAACATTTTCCTACAGTTTCTGCCTTGGACTGATCTGTTGCCTCCACGTATGCCTGTAGAGATGTGAGCCTGGAGAATGTTTTGCCCGAGCGAAGAATCTGTGGAATTGCACGGGGCAAATTCCTGGGGGTGGCACTGCCATAAGGATGTTTTTTCACTTCTGCAGACTTCCAAAAGAGTGATTTAAAGTGTTTGCTGACATGGTGCCCAGTGGCATCACAAAGGCCACTGCTCAGTTTAGAAAAGCAGAGAAGTTAAATCACATTTCAGGCTCTTGGATGGTTTCTCTGTGGTTTTAGGAAAGCTGCTTTGCTGCTGTCTGTCTCCTTTGAGGAATGGAGGGCAGTGATGCTTATCAGCTTCACAAAGACTTTGTGATAATTAACATTTTAAGATGAAAAGCTACTTTATTTTGTAACAGGATTTTGGATATTGTGTCTGCTGATTGGAGGCAAGAAGAGCAATAGATGAAATTGCTCAAAGACAAATCCAAATAACTTCAAACTCCACTGAGGTTTAAATAAACCCACAGGAGCACATTCATTTTTCTTAGTAATAACGTAGAAATTAATGTAATAACTTAGTATTATAATGGACAAATATAAATTTTAAGTCTCACCAGCTCAGCTCAGCTCTGCCTCCTTTCTTGTGCAGTGGTGCTATGAATTTTCTTTTCAGATTGCCAGCTACTGATGCAGCTTCACATCATCTCTTGCCATTAAACTCTGGTTGAGTTCAGTTTTAAAGCAAAACTCTGAAGGGTGGGTGTATAAAGGAAATGGACACTTTGAATTTTGTGTTTGAACTCTGGTTATCCCACTTACCTTTTCAATGTTTATTTCAAGCACAAACTCTTTTTTTGTGCCCTGTGGTCCTGTATATCATCTTGGATCCAAATTAATGAAAGTACCAAAGCCATCTCCAGCTCCATGGCTTTGACATTTTGGCACCTCCTCATTCCTTATTTGAACTGAGTTTGTGACTAAAAATTGTAGTGTCATCCACAATGCTGAAAAATAATTTGGTTCAAACAGATTTCAGTCTCTTCAAGGATCAAAAGTGTAATAGATGAAAACAGAGTATGTCAGGGGGTTTGAGTGTTGACTTGAGA